GCCAGGCCGCGGTAAAGCAGGATTGGGACTTTGGAGTTCATACCCCAGGGGTCCTCTGCGGGGCATTTGCGGATCCCATCCGATCCTTGGCCCCTTGATGCAGAGATTGCCTCTTCCCGCATAAACACAAGCTTTCCCGAAGGCAGTCCTGCGTGTGCGCTCTGGGTTTAGAAAGACCGGTGGAGTCCGACCCCCAGGAAGGAAATGGAGGGGTGGATGATTTGGGAGAGGTCGCCTGAGGCTGCCTTGGTTTACTCAAGCTCCCCAAAGCGGGGATGGGGGGCAGCTTTCTTTTTAACGTTGGTGGCCTGTCGAGTGGGCAGCTGTCTGCGGTGGAGAAGGCAAGTGCAGTCACCTGCAAAACAGGTGGCCACCTTCTGTCCAGGCAGGTGACCGGGGAGGGGGGCACCCTTGGCTTTACAGCATCTTCATTGAAAATGAAAATGACCCTGGGAGGGGAGTTGCTCGACCTAGTTTTCTTTTTTAAAAATATATTTTTATTGATTTTTAGAGGGAGAGGGAGAGAGAGAGAGAGGAACATCAATGAGAGAGAAAAATCGTCTGTCCAGTGCCTCCTGAATGCCCTCTGCTAGGAATTGAACCCGCAACCCCGGGCATGTGCCCTGACCAGGAGTCGAACCAGCAACCTCTCGGTTCATGGATTGCTGCTCAACCGCTGAGCCACACCACCCGGCTCAACCCAGTTTTCTTATTACCGGAGCTTATTAGGCGGTGGTACCTGGGGTTCCTGGCAAATTGTTTATTAACATCACGTGCAAGCTGAAAGTGGCCCTAGGCAAAGACTTGGGCAGACTGTTCTTTTCTTCACCTGGGCTTCTGATCCAGAGCTTTGTGTTGTAGGTCTACCTGCACCCTCTCCCACGATATCCACACACCCGTCAACATCCAAGTTCTGAAAAACCATGGGATTTTTGGCCTCAATGAGGCCCAGCTTCGGATTCTGCTGCTACAGAATGACCCCTGCCTTTTACCAGAGGTGAGTCAGCAAGGAGCCACCCTCATATTGTCTGCCCCTGAAAGAAGTCAGGGGACAGCAGGACAGCCTGAGGTGTATGGGGGTGGGGTGGTGACCTTTCTGGAGTCTCTTATGATTTTACTGGACTTTGATACACAGGAAGTGATGGACCCCGTGGTACAGAAATAATAGAGGTTACTGGTTTTCTGAGTGCTTACTAAATGCTAAGCAATTTATATGCCTTAGTTCATTAATAATCTGCTCGAATTTTATAGGTGTGGAAACTGAGTCTCAGATTAAATAACTTGCCTAAGGTCACATAATAAATGGTAGAGTTGAATTTACATCTATGAAGCCTGTGTTTTGTGAATTGCCTATTTATTCTTTTGTCCATTTGTCTTTTCTTGTTAATATATATGATGTCTAATGATAAAAATTCCTTTTCTGGTCATATTTGTTACAAGTATTTCCCCCATTTACACTTTTTGGGGACTTAGATATTTATTTTCATTGCTTTGGAACAATTTAGTTTCAAATGCTTAAAAAGTATCCATTATAACTGCTATAATGGTGAAGTTAGTATGTTTGTGTTTGTTTAGCTGGACACAAAAATTTTTTAAAAATAAAATAGTTGGAATCCCAGCCCTGGCCAGGTAGCTTGGTTGGTTGGATCATCGCCTCCCATGTGCCAAGGTTTCAGGTTCCATCCCCTGTCAGGGCACATGCAAGAGTCAACCAATTAATGCATAAATGGGTAGAACAGCTGGTCGATGTTCCTCTCTCTCAAATTAATATATAATTAAAAAAATAAGTTGGAATCCCAAAATAAAATTTAATAAGAGACCACTAACTATTAAAAGTAGAGTTTTCTAATCTGGCACAGTGATTCTATCACACTCCCAAGTTGCCAGAAGAGGGGTGAGAAGAAGGAAGGGGTTGGGAAAGGGAGAGTGGTTCATAATTTTGGTCCCATCTTAACTCTAAGAGATTGCAGGGTCTAGAAGGAAGGAAGGTCCCAAGGCTGGGGCCTTTGGCTCAGATGGCAGAGGCTGCCCTCAAGGCGGCAGTTTGTACCCACAGGCAGCACTGGAGTCAGCCTTAGGAGCCAGGTTTCTTCTTGGCATCCATCTCCTTTGTCATTTCTTCACGTTTTGAGGCCAGGTTTGGTATGTCAGGAGCCAGGTACATTCCAGCCATGGTGCCAAGAGGTACACACTGTCTTATCTTTTTTGTGTATGAGGTTAAGATCTATTAGTGGTTTCAGGGCTGACAGCCTGACCCATCATTATAGTGGTCCCCACCGGGAGGGTCTTGGTTTGCCTGGGACAGACCTGGTTTACATTAGTTGCCCTAATATAATTATTAATGGTGCTCCCTAAAAAAAATGCCCTTGTCTGGCCGATAAATGACCTGTTCACACCACCGTCTAGGTTGGTTTCCCTGGAGGCAGAGCCTGACATAGGGATTTAGGTGTGCATGATTTCTTGAAGGAGGGCGCCTTGCAAAAACTTTGTAAGGTAAAAAAAAGAGGGAAGCAGGTTAGAGGGAAGGAAAAGCTACAAGCAAGGCAAAGTCAGGCCCTAACTTGATTCATGACAGGGCTCTGGAACAGAAAGTACACTGAAGAATTGGTCTAGCCTTGAGGCAAGTGTCCAGCCTTTAGTAACTGCGGAGAATTCCCTCAATGGCTACAGGCTTGGGGAAAGGGGGGCAGGTCAACCGGGGGTCAAAGTCAGAGAATGGTCGCTGTGTGTTAGTAGCACTGGGGGAGATCTGGAGGGAGTACTGTGACACTACCCATGCGCCTTTCACCCAGTGATTTTTTTTTGTTTTGTTAATTGTCACCTGAGGATATCTATTTTTTTCCATTGCTTTTCAGAGAGCGAGTAGGAGGGATGGGGGATGGGAGAAATAGATCGATGTGAGAGGGACACATCTAATGGTTGCCTCCCACACTTGCCCGGACTGGGGGCAGGGATCGAACCCACAACTGAGGTACGTGCCCATGACTAGGAATCGAACCTGAGACCCATTGGTGCACAGACCAACGCTCTAACCACTTAGCCACACTGGCCAGGGCTCACCCAATGATTTTTTTTTTTTTAAATATGTCTTTATTGATTTCAGAGAGAGGAAGAGAGGGGGAGAGGGAGGGATGGAAACATCAATGATGAGAGTCATTGATTGGATGTGAGCCCGCAGCCCGGGCATGTGCCCTGACCAGGAATCGAACCCCGATGGCCTGGATCCTAGGTCGATGCTCAACTGCTGAGCCACGCCCGGCCGGGCTCACCCAATGATTTTAACAGCCTTTGATAACCAGAAGTTGCCAGTTAGGAAATCTGTCCTTTTTATTATTATTATTATTATTATTATTGGCTTAAAAAAATACAGTGCAAACCAATGTTTTCAGTGTTGCCTCATTTCTCTGCCAGGTCTGTTTGTGCTACAACAAAGGTGAAGCCCTGTATGGTTACTGCATCCTCAAGGACAAATGCAACAAGTTTCATGTGTGCAAGTCCTTTGTCAGGGGCGAGTGCAGGCTTCCGAAATGCAAACGGTCGCATCAGCTCATTCATCCGTCATCCTTGAAACTGCTGGAGGACCAGGGGCTGAATATTTCCAGTGTTGTTAATTTCCAGATAATCTCCACCTACAGGCACGAGAAGCTGCACAAGATGCTTGAAAATAAAGGTGAGACTGCCAGAGGGCGGCAAAGCTCCATCACTGATGTAGTTTTGACCTGAAAGTGAGTCTGGGGAGAAAGCACTTCATGTGTTTAGTGCTCCTTGGGGAGTTGGGGGTCAGGAAGTAGGTAGACCAGTCTTAGCTTCATTAGGAAAACAGAGGAGGGAGGTGGGCCAGTGACTAGGAAGGTAAGGGTAATGTGGGATGGTTTTCTTTTATTAAAATGAATGAAAGCTTCTTTTTTAATTGTTAGGAAATTTTAACCACATCGCAGAAAAATTTGGATGATAGAGTAGAAATAAAAATTGCATATGACTTTACTCATTTTAATGCACAGTAATTGTTACCATTTACTTGCAAGCCCTTCAGTTTTGTTACTGTACGAAGTCTAGTCCAGTTGCGGTTAAAGTGTGTATTGCTTTAGCCTCTTAAATTGTCACTTTATACAATGTCATAACCATCTTCCCATTTCGCTGCTTAGTGTGTCACTGTTTAACGTTTATAAAGTATGATTTGGTGTTCTTTTCAGTATAGTGCATTCAGGTTACTTATTCTAGTAGATTTGCCTGTAGCTGAAAATCAGTTTCACTGGGTGAAGGCTCAGGAGAATTGTTGATGGGAAAACCAGATAATCAAATTAGAGTCTCTAAGCTTTTACTATGGACTTTTCTTATGTTGGGGTGGTAGTGGCCGACTTCATGGGCAGGTGGTGTGAGGGTAGGGAGGGCTCTGCATATACCAGTGTTGGAGGCTATCTAGGGAACCCTGAATGGTGGCAGGGACCTTCTACTCTCAATTATGTGTAGGGCCTGTCGTTATTTTCTTTTTCTTTTTTTAAAATATATCTTTATTGATTTCAGAGAGAGGAAAGGAGAGGGAGAGAGAGAGACAGAAACATCAATGATGAGAGAGTCATTGGATCGAGCCCACAACCCAGGCATGTGCCCTGACCGGGAATCGAACCCTGATCACCTGGATCCCAGGTTGACGCTCAACCGCTGAGCCACGCCCGGCCGGGCTCTGTCGTTATTTTCACCTGTTCTTGTTTAGTGGCTCTCGCCTAACTATGAAATAGTTTTTTTCTGCTTTCTCTGTGTGTGTGTGTAATATATTTTAAATCCAGAAGACCCAGACTCTCCAAACCCAGAGTTTTGTCTGAGATCTGATGTGCTGGACTGATGCTCCCAATAGAAAGTGCGATTTAGAAATGATAAAAGGATGTCTTAGGAAACCTTACCTTTTTCCACTTTCTTTTAGATAATTCAGCTGCTTCTGCTGAGCATCCGCAGGGCCTTGAGAAACAAGGAGGGCCCACTCCTGGGGCTGCAGAAGCCCGTGCCCTGGCTCCTGCTCCCGCCCAGTTGGCCAAGAAGCCATGCGCAGGTAAACCGTAGAGGACGCCTGTCTGTGAAGTAAGAAGACGCTTGTCCAACTGGAAGGTCTGAAAACAAAGCTGCTGTTGAGCTTTGATTTGTAACCCTTCATTCATTGAATTCGTTCTTTAAAATACCTACCTCACAGGGTGTTGTGAGAATGGAAGAAGATGGGAAACGAGACATTGTCAGATTTCGAGGACAAGATTGGGGATGTGGCTGGACACTGAGCAGGCAAAGAGGCTAGCACCTGAGTGCAGATGGGCTCAGTGCCAGGCAGGCCCTGGAGGTGGCAGCTCCTGCCTGCGGTCCCTGAGCTTCCCCCGCTGCTGGCCGAGCTCTTAAAAAGGCTGGTGTCTGCTGACTTGCTCTGTGACCCAGCCACGTGTTTTTCTGTGCCTGTATTTACAGTTCGAGTACATAAACTGCATATTCTGATTTTTATTTTTTCCACTTAATATGCCATAAGCATCTTCCCATATTGTGCACATTTATCATGCATAATCATTTTTATGCACAGATAGCACGAATATATCCTAGTTTACTTACCTGTTTTCCTTATTCTGGGATATTTTGATTTTAACGAATTTTGCGTATGACTTAAAATCCACACAATATTGAATTTTTAAACTTAGTCTTTTGCTTAGCTTATTGTTAAAATGATACTGTCTTTTGATTTGTATTTCTTTAAATTTACATGCAAGTGAGTATTTTCTGTGTCTGTAGGTCTTTATTTTGTGCATTTTGCATGTGCCCTTTAATGACTGGGGCATGTGATTACCTCCTCTGTGCCCATGGGGGATCACCTTTAGTTAGGCTTCTTAATTTTTATAAAAGGATGTCAACCATACTGTGCTCATATAATATCTAACTCTTGTGGCGATATCCTCAGGCAACACAGAGAGTGCATAACTTTTGGGTGCTCACCAGAGATTTCTACCTCACTTCTACTCTGCTGTTAGGAAACTTTGACCAAAGCCCAGTTGCTGTGGTTTGATGGATGTGTAGTTCATCCATTCCTCAAAATTGTATCCATTCTTTTTTTTTTTAAAATATGTCTTTATTGATTTCAGAGGGAGGAAGGGAGAGGGAGAGAGAGGAACATCAATGATGAGAGAGAGAGAAAGGGAAAGAGAGAGAGAAACATCAATGATGAGAGAGTCATTGATTGGCTGCCTCCTGCACGCCCCCGACTGGGGATCGAGCCCGCAACCCCGGCATGTGCCCTGACCGGGAATCGAGCCTTGATCTCCTGGATCACAGGTCGATGCTCAACTGCTGAGCCAAGCTGGTTGGGCTGTATCCATTCTTTTATGGATCAGGATGGAGCATCAGATGTCTATATACCTCACCCGTTTCCTGTTGACTTTCCCTTCCTCTCCTCTCTCTTCCCCCACCCAGACGTCTTCATTGATCGATGCTGAGATGTTTGGTTCTTTGTTTTAATCAAAGGGTATCACAGAGGAGCAGCTTTATGGAATCCTCCCCCGTGTTTGCTGTCGTAACATCCCTGAATGTCCGTGTGTAAAGTGATTCTAGAAATAGTTAACTGTCCTGCGGTAACATGACATTTGAGAAATAAGGGCAAGGTAGTGAGTTTTTCATAAAGCTAACTTTATTTAATTTAGAAAAATTTTTGTCATGAAATTCTGTCTTACCTGGGGGAGGTGTCCAAAAAATGTCCCTTGTAAAGGGAGAAATTGCTGCGTTTGCTCCTAACGGACAGTAAAAGTCACGCAATTTTTGTTCATCTTTTCACTTTGGTTGTCAACGATGGTGTTTCTGAAAGCCCTTGCATCCTGCGTCTCGCAGTTCTTTTTTTCTAGTTCTGATTTCTCTTGGTGCTAATTTTATAAAAAAATTATTTTTACATTTTATTATCAATTTTTACACGATATCCTTTTACTACATATATTTTTGTTGTAAGCCATCTTCAGTCCTTAATGGAAGTGGTATAGTATATAAATGCATATCCTTTACATTAAGAGACCTGGTAGACTTTTATATTATTGTGTTTCTTTTATATATTTTACAATTACGTGTTTATATATGAAGTTATTGATCCTCTGTAATCTTTGTTGCAATATTTTATTCAATTCTATAATATTCCATTTTTTAAAAGTATGTTTTTATTGATTTTAGAGAGTAAGGGGGGGAGAGAGAGAGAGAGAAAGAGATATCGATGAGAGACATCGATCAGCTGCCTCCTGCACGCCCCCCATTTGGGATCTAGCCCGCAACCTGGGCATGTGCCCTGACTGGGAATCGAACTGGGAACCTCCTGGTTCATGGGTCTACACTCAACCACTGAGCCACGCTGGCTGGGCAAATATTCCATTTTTATCTTAATCCTTGGTATTCATACTGTAGAAATATTTTATGTGATCATACCTGTCTTTTTTATTTTCATGTGATGATGAGCTGTTACAGAGTTACCACTTTGGACTTGGAGATAAGCTTTCTTTGGCGATTTATCGGGGCTTATAACATCTCTAGGCTCCACAAATTCATCGTATCCTAAAAATCAAAGGGTTACCTTTTCTCCAGACTCTGCCTCCCTTTGTTATTTTATTTTGGAGTGTCGCCACCTAGTGACTGAAGCCAAAAACCTGCCAGTTGTCCTAACACTCTTGTTTCTCTTTGTTGCCAGTATCAAATTGGTTACCAGGTGTTGGAGACTTTTTCCCCTCAAAAACCTCTCAAATTTTTATGCTTTTCTTCCCCTTTCTTCCCATTCGCAACACACTGTTTCAAACCCTCATCACCTCTTACAGAACTCGGCGATTTTCAAGTCATGTCTTGTGAGTTTTTTGTGGGAGTTGCTAGGGGACTCCCCTTCAATGCTGGTAGCCCTGTTTTAATTTCTAATAGACCTTTGTGGATTTCATTGATCTCCTTACCACCCTTCTCTCTGCCTTCCCTTCTGCTGCCTGGTTGATCTTTTGAAATCCAGTCCCAATCATACTGCATTTTCCTGCTGTCACCTTTATTGGTCCCCATCATGTAGGGTAGGGGTCATAAATTCGGGTGGCTCCAGGGCCCAGAAAGGTGAGCTGGTGGATGAAGTGAGCTGGATGTGAGAGGAGTGGGGGAGAGGAAGTGCTGTGGCAAATTGTCCCATCGAAAGGGGGCAGCTGCCCCTCGTTTCCATGTGGGGAAATGTGGTCCAGTTTGTCATATTGTCCAGTTCGACAAAAGAAGCCAGAAATCCAGATATTTATGAGAAAAAAAACTTAAAAAAATTTTTTTTAGTGTATCTTTATTGATTTCAGAGAGGAAGGGAAAAGGGGAGAGAGAAACATCAATGATGAGAGAGTCATTGATCAGCTGCCCCCTGTATGTCCCCAGGTGGGATTGAGCCTGCAACCCGGGCATGTGCCCCGACCGGGAATCAACCTGTGATGTGGATCCTTGGTCGATGCTCAACCGCCGAGCCCCACCCGGCCGGGCTATGAGATATTTTATGACTTTTGAATATTGAGTTTTCATAATGCAGAGCAATATCGTGTGTACTGACCTACTTGCGGTTTTTGGAACGGGCCGTTTGATCTTGGGACTGTGTTTGTAAGTTCGCTTCCTCTATATCGCTCTTCTTCCCTCCACCTGCCTTAAAACCTGGTAAAGTGAGATTCTTTACAGTGCGAGCTAACCTTTCCTGGCCCCGAGAGAGTTCTCGAATCTGTAGCATAGCAGTTACTTCCTCACATTAGTGCCTTGTGTTTTCATTCCTTAGCTTTGAGCAAAAACTTTATTCTTCTCAGCAATTCTAGCACTTGGTAGTTAGATATTTTTTGGCATATAACGAGTTAAGCTCAGCATTTGAATCCATTGGGTCAGTCTCATATTGGTCTACACTGGTTTTTTTCTTCTCACATATATGTTTTTAATATTCAAAACAATCTTTTTCCCCCTAAGGAATGTGTGATACAAGGTAAACATCTTTTTAATGCTTCAGTTTGAATTGTCTAGGTCTGGAATGAACACTTTAAGAAAATATTTCTTTTAGTGAATTGCCTTTGTTCTAACAGTGTTATTAGGAGGCCCGTTTGTTTTTTCTAAAATCATAGCTGCAAAAATATTTCTTTTCTTACGTATCTCTATTTTGCGTTAAATAAAATTGTGATAAAAAGATATTTTTTGATACTGCTTCATTAAAACAAATGCTATCTACTTAAATACCATCTGTTGTTTGTTAGAAGCTTTTGGTAGGAATTGGTATCTTTTGATATAATCATATAATTTGTATCATTTAAGCCACCCAATATGATTATATTAATGGTTTTTACTACATTAAAACATCCTTAAATTTTGAGTAAACTCTACTTGATTATGGCATATTCTTTTGATATATTGTCGCCCAATTGGTAACTTTTAAGTGTATACATCTATACATTTATAAATAAAATTCATTTATATTTTATGTGTGTGTATAGTAATTTTTTGTTTTCTTTGCTATATACTCAAAGTATTTTTTTCTGAGTGCTTTTTTGAGTTTTTGTAAATTGATTTATAATGTCATTTTTATTTTTTCCAGCTTTATTGACATATAATAGACATATACCATGCGGGTGTGCAAGGCTATGATTTGATGCATGAATGCTTGTGAAATGATCACCACAATAAGGTTAGTTAGCACATCCATCACCTCACATTCATTATTATGTTAACATTACTGTGTTATTGGATCATTGAATTACACTCTCTCGTATTATTTAGGAATACTTTTCCAAATATTTTTTTTTGGAAAAATAATAACCTATCATTGTGGGAATTTTGGAGAATACTCTTTTGGAGTGTATTAAGAGGTAAGTAATTATCCATACTACTACTGTGCAGAGACAATCACTGTTGATACTTTAGGATATCTTTTTCAGTCATTTTTTTCATGCACATATTCTATTTTTCCCCCCAGCTTCTATTTCTGTTTATTTTATTATTTATTTTTTTATTTTGTTGATTTCAGAGAGAGGAAGGGAAAGGGAGCGAGATAGAAATGTCAACGATGAGAGTCGTCATTGATTGGCTGCCTCCTGCTTGCCCCTGCTGGGGGTCGAGCCCACAACCTGGGCATGTGCCCTGACCGGGAATTGAACCTCGATGCTCAACTGCTGAGCCATGCTGGCCGGACCACGTAATCTTAAATATTGAGGGTATACCATATATACAACTTCATATTACACTGTTTTAGGTTGATAACATTTTGTAAGCATTTTCCTACAAAATTGAAAGCATTTCTAATTATACTTGATGGTTGTATTATGTCTTTTATGTATCATTTATTTAATCACAGCCCTATTGTTGGATATTTATTGTTTACTATATTTTGGTACATAAATCTGTGTCTGCATTTCTTATTATTTTCTTAGAGTAGATTTCTAGATGTGAATATACTGTTCCAGAGATAAGAATATTTTAATAATCAAAAAAGTACTTCAAGTCAGGCCAGTGTGGTTCAGTGGTTGAGCGTCGACCTATGAACTAGGAAGTCATGGTTTAATTCCTGGTCAGGGCACATCCCGGGGTTTCAGGCTCGATCCCCAGCGGCGGGCGGGGCAGGAGGCAGATGATCGGTGATGTTTTTCTCGCCAATGTTTCTATCTCTCTCTCCCTCTCCCTTCCTCTCTTTCTAAAAATCAATGAAAACATATTTAAAAAAATATATTTCAGCCCAGCCAGGCGTGGCTCAGCGGTTGAGCATTGACCTAGGATCCAGGAGATCTTGGTTTGATTCCTGGGCAGGGCACATGCCTGGGTTGCAGGCTCGATCCCCAGCAGGGGACGTGCAGGAGGCAGCCGATCAATGACTCATCATTGATGTTTCAACTCTCTCTCTCTCCCTCTCTCTGAAATCAATAAAAGACATATATAAAAAATATACATATATATTTCAAAATTGTCTACCAGAGTGGCTGGACCATTGACACACTGAGCAGCTTGGGGTAGCCGCTCTTCAACAGCATGTGCTATAGGCTTGTTCTGAGGGAAGGGACAGGGTACCTTTTGTTCCTAAACAGTTCTTCTGGGCATATATTTAGAAAAATACATTG